GTTGTAAGATAGGGTCTGAGATAAGGTAATTTTTAAGAGTATCAAAGACTTGTTGATGTTTTTCTGTCCACAGATAGGGTTCATCTTTCTTCAGTAGCTGGTTCAAAGGTTTGGCAATCTTGAAAAATCCTTCTATAAATCGCCGGTAATAAGAGGCAATTTCTAAAAATCCTCTTAGTTGTCTAAGATTAGTAGGTTCTAGAAAATTTTTAATTTTGTCTACCAGTCTTTCATCTGTTTTAATTTTATCTTTTTCAATGATATGTCCTAGGAACTTGATATTATTTAGAAAGAAATAACATTTTGCCAAGTTTAATTTTAGATTGGCTTCTTTTAGAACATTTATAACTTGTTGAACATGGTCCAAATGTTCTTGGAAGGTTTTGGAATAAATGATAATATTATCTAGGTCAGTGTTGTTCACTGGAACATTTCAGTGAGAATTACTGGAACTGGAAGATCACTGGAACTAACTGGAAGAAAAAAGTAATATATTACCTTCCAGTGGTATGTTGTCACTGGACCCTTCTAGTGAGAATTTTTAAGCTACTAGAAGATGTTCCAGTAACTTCTAGTGGCTTTCAGTAACTTCCTATAATATTTTTTTGATTACAACAAAAATTACTATATCTGGGTTTGTATCTATCTCTGCAAACAATTTGGGTATTACAAAACTTTATTTTTTCTTTACGACATTGCAATTGTTAATGGTAACGATTTTGGAACTTGTGATTATATGCATATATACATAACAGCCATCATATGTTTAAATCATAAATAAGAGAATTCAAAAATATTTTTTTTTAATATGTATTTATTTTAATACAAATTAATTCTAAGCAGATTCACTTCAGAAATATAATAAGTTTAACTTGAAATTTTATTATTTAATGTGATTTTTGATCTTAGAAATTTTAATAAAATACAATAACTCAATTGCAAGAAATTTGTTACACCCTCTTTGTCCTAAATAATCAATAACATAATATAATGAAATACTTACCTTCTAATTAGCATTTGATAATACAACCTTCATGATACTAATTTTAACATTTGGGCATTTTTAAGCACCTCACCTGCCTCAATGAATTCAATAAAAAATCTGATTGGCTAGTTTGATTAAATAGACTAATCAAATCCATAATTGAGTCCATTGAGGTATGAGGTAGGTGCTTGAGAATGCCCTTTATTACATAAATCAACTGTTACATTTTACCTAAAATATTCTTGCAAAATTAGGTATTGTTTCAAGAGCTGCTCATGAATCTGAGCAGCTACTTGGAAAGGCACTATTAAACCAAATTCACTTTGTAATTATGATACTAGTTGTATAAAATGATATATTAGTGCAATTCTAATATAATACCCTTGATTAACAATAGAAGTGTAGTAAATAGATTCAAAAAAAAAATATAAAAAAATGTAAGCATATATTTTAATAAAAAATAAAAACCTGATCTCGCAATGATCTTTCTCCAGTTATATGTAATAACCACTCAAGTCTTGCTTGTGCTATGCTTATAAGAAATGTAATAGCATTCAATCAATGCAAATTAATGGCTGAACTTAACTTATATTATGTAATACTCTTCTATTTAGTCATTGCATTATGTGCAATAATATAATCTTAAGTAACATATTGCTAGAAAAAGGTAATGAGCTATAATTATAGAAAACATCTTCTCTTCAATGTAGTCAATTCATTTGAAAGATATAATTGTATGTATTGTATATATTGCATGTGAAAAAATGAACAATCTTTGGGGAATTAGAATAATCTAATGAGCAATAAAGTATATAATTCTAAGGAATGTTGAATTTCATTTCTATTTCTTTTATAATAAACTTAGTATATTCTCCATGTATCATTAATAAATTAATACATAATATTTGTAATACACAAATGTCCCTATCTGAAAAACTAGAATTCCTTATCATCATACCAATTCATATTCAAAAGTAATCTGGTCTTCTTGAGTCATTTTATAAATGATTCTAATGACTCGTCAACTAGTATTAATTTTGGTATATTCTAATTAAATTTTAGATAAAATGGCTTAAAGACATATTGGTGGTTCCAAGAAGCATAGATTTACAAATGATATTATTGTACTTGATAGGAAAGCAACAAATAAATATAATACAAATTGTATATATAAAGCTTGTGATGAAGTTCTTAGCTAGGAAAAAACTTTAGAAGACCCAATTACCAATAAGAAAAATGTTGTTCGAAATCACTTAAAAATATGTAAATATTTTCATACCAAGCTTGGCTCTCAAGAGGCAGTAGATGAATATTGTAACAGGACAGACAATGAAGAAGATAAGGTCCAAAAAACTTTGAAAAAGCATAAAAGTGCTGATATATCAGGTATGTGTGTATGTATGTGTGTGTGTAAATATCTAAAATTAGCATTTAAATATTTTTTTTAAAAAAAATACATGATAACAATGATGATAATTGCACAAGTGGCATATCTGGTGTTTCTTCAACAATGTCTATATCAATTAAAAAGCCAAGAAGAAAAGTATTAAATTCTAGAACTATGTCTAACTTTATTGCCAAAGATATTAGTATAAAAGAAAGACCAAAATTTGAATGATTGTTGCTTCAGATGATAATATCAAATAGATGGGTATTTAGTTGGATAAGAAATCCAAAAACCAAGGAACTTTTTGAATTCTTAAACCCAGCACTTACTCTTCCTAGTCAGCATTTATTATCCAATTATATCCTTAAGGCTGAAAGAACAAATTATATTAAATCACGAAAGCAAAAAATAAAGAAAGATAAAATTGGAGTTACCTTGGCATTTGATGGGTGTAAAAATATTTTAAAACAACATATCTTTGGTTCATTATTTATTTTATCAACTGGAGAGGTTCAAGTTTGAGAAGCAATTAATATTAGTTCAGAGAGAGAGAGAATGATCAATGTTATTCTTAAGATTGAAAATATGATTCAAAATGTGTCGAATTTGAAGGCAAAATTATTGGCAATTGTCTCTGATAGTGTGCTAGCATATTCTGCTGCAAGGTAATTAAATAAAAAAATCAAGTAAAATAAATTAAAAAAAAAATAAATATTAAATAAAAAAATAAATAAATAAATTTTAATAAAATAATATATAGGCTGTCATCAATAGAAATAAGGCAAATTGACATTTTAAAAAATATTAATATCTTAACTTTTATAGCTCATATTTCAATGGATTTTGAAGCTATCATGATGATTTATTATCCAAAAGAAAGCATATGATCTAAGCTTTCTTTTGAATATTAAATTATCAAGATAGCCTCAAAATTCATCGAGATATAAGCTATGAAAGCTAAAACATTAATTTTTTTTAAAATGTCAATCTGCCTTATTTCTATTGACAGCAGTCTATATAATTTGCAATATTCTTCTAATTATTTCAATAGATGTTGGCTACAATTACAATATCCAGAAATAGTATTTATCCCTTGTTTTGCTCATCAGTGCAATTTAACTGTAGGAGAAATTTTCAAAAAGTCTGCAGAGTTTAAACTTGTGATGAAACAATCTATAAAAATAGTTAGCTATTTTAATACTATACTTCATTCATACTTTATCGGAAAGCTTTGAGATATACAAAAACAAATATATTCAAAATACATTACATTAATTTGCCCAGGTGATACCCATTAGAATTCATATTGTTATTGTTTCAAAAGCCTAATAAAATTCCGACAAGCTTTAAAAGTTAGTATTTATGATGTATTAATTTTTTTTTTTTTTTTTTTTTAACAAGTATCTAATTTAAATAACAAAAATCAAAATTTTTAAGAATTTAGCTACTATATTTGAATCACCCTTCGAAATATCAACAAATGACTCTGGCAATAAAGAATCAAATCAACCTTTGAACAGTTCAGGTGAACTTTATCTTCCACAACCGATAACCACAATTCTACTAAATGATAATTTTTGGCAATCAATAATGTGATTACATTCTTTGCTTCTTCCTTATTGTGGAGCTCTTAACAAATTGCAGTCAGATACTGCATGTCTTTATAACATGTTACTAGCTTTTGGTAAAATATTGAGAATGTGGGAGAAGTATTCAGATTATAATTTAGCTCAATATATAATCCTGTGGTTAAAACAAAGATGAAGACAATGGGAATAATCATTACTATTATTATCTTTTCTTTTACATCTAAATATTTATATTATATGGTTTAACAGTAATAATGAAAACTTAAACTTTACATACTTAGCTCAATTCATTACTTATTATTACAAAGCATGGTTTGGATGCCAACCAACTCGTATCTTACTTGAGCTAGAAGAATATAGAAAACGTAGATATCCCTTTGACTTTGTCACATATAAACAATTTGAAGATAATATGCTGCAATTTTGGGAATTCGTTTTATCTTCAACTAAAGAATTAGGTCCATTGGCTGTATGCTTATTTGGAATATGTATTAATGCAGAATTTGTAGAATGACTATGGAGTTCAATAGGATTTTTTTATACTAACTGTCGTTGCCATCTCCATGTAAAATTTTTTCTTGGTTCTTAGTTTTAAAATTAACTGACTTTTTTTTTTTAAAAAAAAAAAATAAAATGATAAAGTACTGACTATGAGTCAAATTCATGCTTCAATTAACTTTTCTCGAGTAAAAAAACAAAGTAATACTTACAGATGAAGACACTGATAATGAATCATCAGACATAACAAATGCTGAAAATTAGGAAAATCAATTACGTGACTGGGAAAAAATACTAATGAATGAAGAGGTTGCTAGACTAAAGGAAGAAGAAGAAAAGTGAGACAATTATGATAGTTATATGGAAAATAATTTGTTAAGTAATTACAGGCATCCAGCAGTAGATGATAAAGTGAAATGAAAATTATGTGATATTTTCAGTGCACAATTTTAAAAACCAGGTTATATGAATAATAATAAATAAGTTTTTTTGTTTTTGAATATCTTTTACTTTTTTTTGTGTGCCTTTATCTCTTCATACATGATCATATTGATATTTATCATAGTCGATTGTTCTGGCAGCAGTGCTTAGAGCCTCCTTTATAGGCAACCAAATTGTGTTATTAAATAATTGAACTCTAAATTTAACAAATATCTGCAAGCTGCATTGAAATAAAATCTTGAAACTTTACCTCCTATTTAAATTATAGTTATTTTAAAATCAAGCAAAAAAAAAAAAAGAAGGAAAAAAAACTTTCCAAATACATGTAATGTGATCTAACTCAGATCTTAGAAAGAACTATGCTGGTATTAACTTGCAACACATAAATTATAACAGATTAACGAGTATTATTATAAATAAAAAAACACTAGAAATATAAATTTATTATTAATTGTTTACCAATTAGTTTCTTAACCTGAGTTCTTTGTATGCTATGTACTACATAGTGAAAGGTTTTTATAATTAAAATCACATGAAATATGTACATTTTTTATTGGTTAATATTATTTGCTATTCATGCATTTTTATTGGCTAATCTTATATTGGTTCCAGTGAAAAAATTCTTCTAGTGGAAAATCCTACTGGAACCACTAGAAGGCTGGAAGATTTTGGACTTCCAGTGAGATTTCAGAATTTCAGTGGCAACACTGATCTAGGTATACTACTACAAATTTGTTGATAAAGAGGCAAAATATTTTATTCATTAATCTTTGGAAAGTTGTAGGTACATTAGTGAGTCCAAAAGGCATGACATTGAACTCATAGGTTCCCCATTTTGTAATAAAGGCAGTCTTTTTTTTATTTTTTTTCTTCATAGTGACTTGCCAATATTCATTGGCTAAATCTAAGCTAGTGAACCAAGAGGCTTCATTGAATGAGTTTAAGATTTCTTGGATAGTTGGTAGTGAGTATACATCTTTTTCTGTAATAGCATTAAGTTTTTTATAGTTAATGCAAAGTCTCTTTTGGCCATCCTTCTTTGGCATAAGTATAACAGAAGAAGACTAGAGTCCAAAAAATTCTCTAATGATTTCTTTTTTTAATATTGCTTGAATTTCTTTTTGCAGAAAGTCTTGTTCATTAGGAAGATATTGATAGGCTCTTTGTTTAACAAGGTTGTAGCTATTTGTGTTTATTTTATGACAAATAATATTGGTTTGTTCTAATTCTTTAAACTGTCCATCTTCTAAGATATTTTCTAAGAAAATATCAATATTTTCTATTAATAGTTGTTTGGCTGGAGTATGTTGGTCTTGGGTAAGTTCCAGATTTACATTTAGGTTTAGGTTGTTAACTGAATAGATCTTTTTTTCTAACAGTTGAGTTAGATAAAAAGCAGAAGTAGTTTTTATTTCTAACTAGGAATTGTAATACATTTTATCAATTACAGAAGGCTATTCTTTTAGATAGTAGGTTTCCATTTCTTCTTCATCATCTATCTCATCTATTCATTGATCTTCTTCATTTTCATCTACTTCTTCTAAGATAGGGTAAAAGTTGATAGTATGAGTAGCATTGGTAGTAGCTTTCTTTCCTAAGTATCAAATATTTAAAATATTGTTTTCAAAATCCAATTTGGCTTTTGACTTGTTAAACCAATCTGTTCCAAGAAGAAAAGTTTTATTCATAGATTCAATTACTTGGAGGTTAATAGGAATAATAATATCCTAAATAGTAATCTTCACATTAGAGGTAATTTCTAAGGCTTTGGTACAATTTTCATTGGCAGTAATCACAATAGTTTTGAAAGGTTTCTGGATTTGGAGTCCTAATTTTCTTATGAACTTGGCTGTGATTATGCTTACAGCTGCTCCTGAATCAAAGATAGCAACAACAAAGTTTCCTTTAATTCGAATATAACATCTCATTGGTGTTGTCTTTTTGGAGTAATTAGTTTTAGCTTGATTTGCTTCAGTAATAGGTTCCTTTTTCTTTTACAAAATTTTTGCAAGATTTTTTTGCTATGCTGAAAATTGCAACTATTGTCCAATAGTGACAGAAGATTTCATGTTTAGGATATCAGTAAAGACATCATAGGGTTCAATATGTTCGATCACAGATAGATAAATTTTGAATTTGGGTTTTGGTTTGGTTTCTTTTATAATAGGTACTTCAATAGGGATTTCTACAGAAATTTTATTCATTTGAGTATTAGGTTCATCTGACATGACAGTTCTATTTCTAAGTTTAAATTCTCTTCGGGATTCAGAGTTTTTGTTTGAAAACTTGTCCTGTTTTCTGTTAGTAGAATAGGATTGATTTCTTGATGTTCTGATAATGTATACTTCATTGACATTATTATCCTCTATTCTGATGTAATTGATATTTTTCCTTCTATTATTCTAAGTCATTTGCTTGTATTGACTCATTGTAGGTTGCTTTTTAGCTAGACAATTTCAAGTATAGTGTTCCTTTTCTTTACAGTTGTAGCAGGTAGTAAAGGGTCTCTGGTACTGATTTCTGAATTAAAATTGGGTCCTAGGTTGGTATTGATTTCTGGGTTGGAACTGGGTTCTGGTTTGAAATTGTTGTTGAATTTTTGGTATAGGTTCAGTAAGTACTGATGCAAAAGTTGCATAGTTAAGGGTTATTTGTTATATTTGTTTGGTAAGGTTATCAATATCTTTTTTCAAACTTCTATTAACAGCAACTAAACTAGGTTTACTTTGAGTAACAAAATCTTTTCCTTATTCAAATCTTTTTGCAAATCCTAAAGCATCAGCTACTATATTAGGATTATGCATAAGGATAACAGAAAGGGTTTCTGAACAGAGTCTCTTATTAAAGTGATATAACTTTTGGGCATCAGTTAGATTATTATTAATTTGTATTCATTGGATAATTCTTTTGTATTAGCTATAATAGGTTTCAACTAGTTCATTAGAGAGTTGTTTTAATTTATCTAGGTCTCTAATCCATTTGTTTTTCCAGTATTGATTACAGAATTGTGCAATAAAAGCAGCTTTTGTTACATTTCAATCATCTTCTATATTAACTTCAACAATATTTACAGAGTAGTAAGCTTGTTGCCATTTGTCAACATTTCCTCTAAAAAAAGCTAACATGATTTTTCTCTGTTTGGCAAGACTCTAACTATTAGTAGTTGAAGCTTTTTCAAAATCAGCAATCCAAACTAAAGGGTCTTGGGTTCCATCTTTATAAAAAGGTTCAATACGAATAGCATTTCCATCTTTTTCATTTTCTTTTAGATAGTTAAGAATATTAGCTGTAGTAGTCATAATATTTTGAATTTGTTAGTTGGATAAGAGGTTAGGTATGTGTTGTTTGGAATTAAAAAGTATTTCAAAGGAGTCACTATAGTTTTCAAAATCAAGATGATAAGGAAATATAAAATCTTCTTCTATTAATATAAAAGGGTTTCTTTAATAACAGTTTGTATAGATAGCTAAAGATGTTATAGTTCTAATAATATCAATAATGTTTTCAGAAGAACTAGAATATTTAAAACTAAAAATAAGTTTAAAGATAATGTTCTTTAATTAAGGTAGATTATATTGGGTATAAATTTGTTTAACTTAGTTGAAATATTCTATAATTTTGCCAGAAAAGTCACAAGCAAAGTATTGTTTAGTATACTAAAAATAAAAGTTTTGAAAGTTAGAAGGTATATTTGAAATTATAAGGTAACAAATTTCACAAGAATCGTCTAATTTAGTGATAGGTAACTAGGTGGTATGTTCTTTGATATATAAGAATACTTTTAATAGGTATCTTTCAAAATTAAATTGCATGTACTATCAATTTAGAAGTTATTTGTCACAATGCAAACACTTATGCTTTTATTTCTAAATTTTAATTTTTAAAAATTGATAAATATCTCTTTAATTTATTATGCTAATAGGCTTTGTCACTTAAGAGAAAGTTGTAGAGAGAATCCTTCTGGTCCTAAAGGAGGTCAAAATGCTAAAATTGGTTCAGTATTTGCTAAGATATAGATGTTTAAAGTTGGTATAATGATAGTCAAAATGTTTCTTCAAAAGGGGTTTCTTGTAATTTCTTTGTAGATCAAAAATGTTGTCACTATTTTGACATTAAATAGCGGGTTCCAGAAGGATTTTCTTACTAAGATATGCTTAGTAGAAAAGATGCAGTATGTTTTTAACTATATATTATTCAAATTTCAGGTCAAACAGACCAATATTGATAGAGTTTCTTTATAAGTAACTAAAATCAATTATCTTCAATAAATTAAGAACTTATCTCATAGTCAATATCAAAATATTAATTTGTAGTTTTTTCTTTAATCACAGTAATAATAGAAGCTGCTCAACTATAGTATGATGATTATAACTTGACAGATTTTATATCAAAGTCTATACAATACTTAACAAAATACAGAGTAATTTGAGATTTTAAGGCAGAGGCAACAATAGATAGTATATAAAGATACTAAATATTGCATTCAGTTTATTTACTATCACCACTCTTTCTGATGATCATCTGAACCAAGTTGGTACCAAAAGTAGATTGAAGACTCTGGCTCCAAAGTGGATAATATTCTTAGTTTTACATTAAGTAAATTTGCTGTTGACAAAGCTCAAGTACATAATACACCGAAGAGCAGGCGAAACTTGAGTGGTTCTTGCCTTGGATTAAGCTTTTTGTCTGGTAGACTCCCTCGCATATTCAGCATCCAAACTGGAAGGATATTCTGAAAGCAAGTAGAGACAAAATCAGTTCTCTGGTTAAGAATATTAGAAGCAGAAGAAAAAGAAGAACAACTAAAAAAACTTTCTTTAACTTAGACCCTTGCAACAATGATATACTTTCTCTTCATCTTTTTTTTGTTTTCTCTTTCTTGAAAAGTGGAAATTTGGCTT